ATCCCTAGCTGATCACCATCCATCAAAGGAAAAGCGTCCTGTATAAATCACACGATGTGTCCGACGCATCAACTCAAGCTCTTGAGAAGCATATTATTAAAGTAGAACAAAGAGTGGATCTCGGATGCACAGAAATCGAGGAATGAGTTCCTCATCATCTGGAACAAGTTATTACAGACCTAACGACTTAACTGCTCGGCCCCATGCCCCCTCCATTACCTTCTCCCGCCTAATGATGGCTTCTCGCCCCTCTGATAAGCCCTTATTCCCTCAACCATTCAGAATTTGACAATAGAATTGTAGAGGACTACAGCTCGAAAATGATAACTTATTGCACCACTTGCAGCAGGTGACGCCAGTACCAGATGTCATCGCCGTGCAGGAACTAAACAAACAATGCAATTTAACAGGCTATCGCACTATGCAGCCGCAAACTTCCCCCACCCTATAGCTCACCACATATGTTCATCGTAGCATTGCACATGTGTCCCATGACCTCTCCGATATGTATTCTGACTGCGTCTTCCTTGGGCTCCTGCCACGCAATTCTTGGTATTTCCCTTTATTTAAAATAAATATCTACAGCCCCCCTGGAAAAAGGAGCTGACCTGTTGCGCGTACTCGCGCGAGCCCTCTCTACCGCAGGCACTATGCCCATAGTTATAGTAGGGGATTTTCATGCCTCACATGTTGAATGGGGATATAGGGCCTCTTCCGTTAAAGAACAACTCTGCAACTTCATAAAACAACACCGGCTGTCACTTGTGACGGATACCACGCAAGCTACCTGCATGGAAACAGTAATAGCAGAGACACGGGCCCAGATTTAACGCTTGTTAAGAACATCACTCAGCTACAATGGGAGAACAATTGCCTCAACCTAGGAAGATCACTATATAATTGACATCAAGCTTCAGGCTGGTAAATTTAGACCACGGTACCTGCGCAAAGCTATTGTACACTGGCATCAATTTAGAAAACTTCATGCGCTGAAATAGGCCACCTCGATTTCAGACTATGATACATGGGTCGCAGAGCTACAAAAAGATCTGGAATATCTGGAAATATCGACTAAACAAACGCCAACTGAGCACGCAAACGAGCCGGCAGATAGCCGTTTGATGCACTTATGGGAGGCTTGCCAGAATTTGGAAAGACGCTGGCTTAGGCAAAAGCACAACGGCACATTGCGGCGTCGCATTCTAATGACTCTCAACATCATCACAGAACACACCAATAATCTTGTCTCTCAACAATGGACGCAGTTATGCAATCGGCTTGATGAAAGCCTTCAATTTAGGAAAACTTGGTCTTTTCTACGTAACTTATTACAGCCATCAAAACCTAACGCTGACACTAGCAAACTTATAACATGACTAATTCAACTAACGAAGAATCACACACAGCACATACTGCAAACCCTAACTCGAACCTGCTTTATGCAGCATGCCACCGAGTCGATGTCGGAATCTGAGGGCCTTCCCAACACACATTTAGGCCGCCCCTTTAGGCCGCCATTTAGGCCGCCCATTTAGGCAGAGGTTCGCGCTGCATTACATCAGCTACACACCACTTCAGCTCTAGAACCTGACCACGTCACCAATAAATCACTACGCAACCTGGACTCAGGCTCGGTTAAAGTTCTCATTGAGTATTTTAACCAGCACTGGTAACAAGGCGCACCGCCTCCCCAGTGGATATATGCCATGGTGACATTCATCAGAAAACCAGGCGAACCCCTCGACCTAGCTAACTTGGGCCATATATCCCTCACTTCATGTGCATGCAAACTTATGGAGCGCGTTATCCTCAATCACCCTAACAGATTCTTGGAGACAAGTCACCTCTTCCCTCCTACTATGTTTAGATTCAGGGCAGGGCTCTCCACCCAAGATGTGATGCTCCAGCTCCAAAAGAATTTACTAAATCGCAACTTTCCACATCTTGCTAAAGTAATAATAGCACTTGACTTGACTAAAGCATTCAACAGTGTCTGACATGCGGCTATTCTAAAGAAACTCAGTGCACCCAACATGAGTTCCCGCACTTACAAAAAATATGTTGTGGGCCTTTTTAACGAACAGAACTGTCGACATACACCTCGGATCGGTTAAACCTCCGACCTTCACCCTCGGATAAAGGGGCACTCCGCAGGGCCGTCCTCTCTCCTTTGCTCTTTAATAAAACTCTGATACAGCTCGCGCAAAATTTAGCTACCATACCGGCCCTACAACACTCACTGTACGCCAATGACATTACAATTTGGACCACCACGGGCAACTGTGGCACAATCGAATACACCCTCCAGAGAGCAGCACTAACGGTACAAAAATACGTGCGGAGCATTGGCCTCAGCTGTTCAGCTCCTAAATCTGAACTCATTCTCATTCGTCCCAGGGACCATTTTCCTCCAGAAATATCCGTATATTTGGATGATAAACTCATCCCTTACGTAAACAATATCAAAGTTCTAGGCCTCCATATTTTCAATACTGGCTCCAATTTCATAGCCATGGTACTATACGGCGCTCGGTGCAGAATATATCAGCCCTAGTAAATAGGACTTCTAATCACCACAGAGCTACGCGCGAAGCGGACGTACGCCGTCTTGTCTAAGCATTCTGCCTGTGTAAAATTACTTGTTCCCTCCATTATCTTTTCCTTTCATCTCTAGAGAGGAATCAGATAGATCGCCTCATTTGTACAGCATATAAAGCTGCTCTGCGCCTGCCTCCGAGTACCGTTATGAGCAATCCTCTTTTGTTGGGGGTGCATAACAAAATTGTTGAACTAATCGAAGCGCACCTCACCAGCCACTATGCCCGACTTTCGCAATTCGAAACAGCAAGAGTTCTCCTTCAGCGCCTCAGAATCAACCTCACAGGATGCACCACCTCCTCAAAATCACCCTCAGGACACATTATTGACAGTCTCTTGATACCGCCATTGCCTAAAAATACCCACCCCAACCATAATCACGACCGGCAGATAGCCAGAGCCAGATCGCACCCTTTCACGACCTCACAGGTACCGCTTGGAATGCGCAGATATTCCCCCTGAGACTAACAAAGCGTAAGCGCTAAATGATGTATATATAGTTCACTGCGACTACGCCGAACGACGTGTGTCTTGGGGCTCAACGGTTGAAGACGCCCGATTCCGCACATAAGGTAAACAATTTTTCACAGTTTTAAAGGTGTAGTCTTTTTTGGAGGACTTCGACGCAAAAATTTTGGTCTGTTCATCTGTACTTTAAATGGCACCGGCGGATACGCGAAACGGCTGACCCCATTCGCAGTGCCCACCAATGTTGCTCAAGAATCAGCGTTCCTACTTGTGCAACTGTCAATTAAAAAGCAATTATCGCACATATCTGAGGCACCATCACAATACCTATATATTCTGTATGTGCGTCTTTTCCTACAAAAGACATACATAAATTATTGTAAGCACCGTACAGTTTATCACGTGGCGCTGACCGTGCAACGCTTGCACGAAAGGGGAAGTGCTTCCAACGCTTTGCTAAGACGACATGGTGGTGGCACCTACCCGTCGCCTTGCGTTCTTTACCTTATCACCTCTGAGACGGGCACGCACGCCCGTCTCAGAACCGCGGCTTTTCTTTTCCAAGATAACTGCCAGATGGCGCTTATGTCTCACGTGTGACGTTACTTGGTGCGCTCGTTCACCTCCGCTGTACACTCGAGGCACTCTAACGCAGCGCCTCCAGAACACCATTCGCCAATTTTCTTGCGCGGAACATCAAATAAACGTTTTGTTCACTCTCTCCAAACGCAAGACTATCGTCTTTCGACGACATTTGCGGTGTAACATGCAGATGCAGGCCTAACTTTTTCTGTGCGGCTTTATACATACAAAGAATGAGATGACATCCCGTACGGTAGTTGCAATGTTAACTTTCAATGCAGTTCGGCGAGGCAAAAACAGCGTATCCTGCGTGACGAACGTTAATGATGATACATCGTTTAACAACCGAATGAACGAGATTTAACTGCTTAATCGGCACTCAGAATATACATTCATTTATAATATATACGGTGCATGAAGCTGATGGCGGTGGCGGAAAAATGAACCTATAATGTTGATTTTGAAACAACAATAATTGAAACACATTCTTTATATTCTGAAGTCGTAAATAAAATCTCCCTAAAAAGGACCAGATGACGTTAACAATCTACGTATAAAGCTGAAAAAACCCATACGTATACTTGCCATCGCAGTTTCTTCAAGTCGCCAATATGTTTTTCCCATAGTTTGCAACCACGATTGCCAGATATATGCAGAGGTGTTTTAAACTGTGAAACTTGCCTGTCTTTGTTTTTACCCACACCTTTTTTTCTTGAATATTAAAATGGTATTACAGAGCATCTACATGTGCGCTATCGTAAAATTCTCTCTTGGAAGATATGTTAAGATCCTAAAATACACAACGTGTTAGACAAACAATCATAAGAATGAGCCGAGGAGTAAGTGTGCAGGCACCAACACTATGAAGCTGCCACGAACTTTTTTAAGCGAAAAAGCAACATCGCCATCACATAAACACGTGATTTAGAGGTACATCTTGTTCAAGAAAGCATGACTCATCTCCCGGAAGGAAACCATGGTGCAATGCCAAGCAGCAACGGTGAGCCCGCCGTCGACTCGGATGAAACGAGCGTTTACGCACGTGCTGGAAGAACAGTTTGAAATGAAACTCGGTGAAGCCTTTACTCGAGTATATATATGTTTGTTTGGAACGCAAGGACACGAAAAGCAGGTTGGGTTTTGTGCGCGTTTCATCGCAGATAAGCGAGCCGAAATAGTTTTTCTACTCGACATGTAATCGAGCGTTGCGGGTAGTGGAGATGGTGAAGTGAGAGAGAGGTGTGTTGCGAGCAGGTGATGGAGCAACACCAACTAGGTTTGTTGGGAGCAGCCGATAGCTGCTGCGGGTGAAGGAGAAAGTGACGTCAACGTGCAGCTACAAATTCACTTACTTGACATCGTTCCAACAACTGCGGTAGGAGGAACGCTGGTGGCACGTTCGCACGGAGACACGGACGGACCTTCTTGCACAGGCTGCTTCGAATCTAAAAGTGAACAGTAACGACATTAAACGTCGTGGGGCGTGGCAGTCGCATAGATACTACCGCAAGGCTTCACTATGTTGCTTACTTAATCTCGTTGAACTCCGCGGATTGTGACCTTCGGCAATTTAGTGCATAGCCTTATAAAATCATTTCTGGTGCCCTGTCTAGTCTCTTCCTTTTTTCTCTTGCATGTATCAGTTGCGCCACAAATAAATAATATCCTTGAGTGTGAATACGTCTGTGTTAGATTAGTATCAATGGTCATATTAGTTATTATTTCTATTTTACTATTGGCTAATCCCACTAATAAAAATTCTACAGGTTATGCACAATCTAGTTGTGAAAGCTATGAGTAGTTTAAATTGAATGTACTGATTATGCAATGGTACGAGTACTGAGAAATAGTTCAAAACACCACGCACTTCCCCAGCAGGTTTGGATGAAGAACAGCTTCGGCTTTCCTTTCAGGGCTGGACATTTCTCATTGTTGAATGGCGCATAAACGTCGTTCATCAAGTTCAGCTTCGCATCATGCACATCCTGAGTCGTGTCCTGGTTTTCGTGTGACATCAGGATCACAACCAGGCACTCGGCCCTCTCTTGTTCTTTGGACTGCGCTGCCTCAGACAAGATCGCCTTCATTCGCTGAAAACAAAGACAGGCAAACGTTAGTTTCCTGTTATTGACTCCAGGAATACTTGTGCTAAGAACACAATATTCATAAGAGCTAAAAGACAATGACACTGAGGAAAAATCAGGGCTTAATATTAGTAGTCATATTACAGTTAATGTGACAAACGAAAAGTGCACGATAATATAGCTCTCCGCTGTCAGTCACTGAACCCGCGACCTTCAAATAACGCCTCTGATGCTCTGCCTACTGAGTAACAGAGATTTTCTTTTCCTTGTTCACATTATGGAGTGTGAGGTCTGGCGTCTCAGGCCAAGAGGGGTGAGTCTTCTTTGTCGCAAAAGGGTGCGCTTCCCAAAGAGCCGATTCTCGGGTGACGAGAATCCCGGCGTAAAGACAACCGTTCTGGTGAGAAGACCGTGGTCGCTCGCCGCTTTTCACAACCAGCTAAATGGTTTCCGGCCAGCTTGTTGCCGGCGGGTGAAGTGAGGACAGTGTATAGACACCCATCCATCAGGATAAGAGTCCGCGGGATGGCTGTCATGCTGGACAGCATAGTCATCTCGCGGTAATGGCAGGAGGCCCGCAGCCGAACGGCGCCCCCATTGTGTGCGTTCGCAAAGTTCGCGGAACGTGGTGTGTAGGCCGATCCTTTCATGTCTCTCTCTCCAACAAAGAGGTCAAGTGCTTGAATAAGAGAGCGAGAGGAGAGGACGGCAACAAATATGTTTGAGTCTGTCCAATAAACGAACTGAATTGTTTTAATTGGCCGTGAGGAGAACTGGGAGGGGCAACGGAGGTGTTAAAACCTGGCTCCCGACTCCTCGTGGTGGTTCTGGTCGCAGCAAAAAGTGCTCTGCACTATCGGCTCTGCCGAGGCAACATGCGGCGGTTCCAGCGGTGAAGAGACTTGTAAATTTGTACATGAGTTCCTGTCAATAAAGTCGAGTTGTTGCAACGTTCGAAATGTGCTGGTCTCCATCCCTGAACAAGCAGCAGCAGCCACGACAAGACACGACGGACACCAAGCAACCAACCTTCCACTCCCTTCTGTAGCAACAGTCTCTGCGCCGCTGGGAGAGCTCTGCTCAAGGGAACAGAGTGAGTGGGCAGAAGGTTTGAGTTTTACTTGGGGTATGTGTGCTTATTCAAATGTGTGAGTGTGAATCAGCATAGGAATACGTTAATGATCTACTTATACTGGCGGACAACTTTTCTTGGCAATGAAGCCAATTTTATGGACACCATTCACGCGTACTCTACCGCCAGATAATGTATTGCAAATAAGTTCTGTGAAAACCCGCAAGGTTCGAGAAGGGATAAGAAAGGAAAACAACACAACCACTCGTTTGTAGCACGAAGCCACAAGGAAATCAATACGAATTTCTCAGAAAGAAAAGCTTCGTAGTTGCCGAAAAATTAGCCCTGATCCGGGGTTCGCACCCGAGTCAAGCACCTTTCCGTAGTAGTCTCGCTACGAATTGAGCTAACCAGGAAGCTAGCAATTGGCAGCGCGAGGCCGAACATGCCACCGCCCTGTTATAAAGGTGACCCTCATAGCATCCATCTATCCATCCTAGGAAATGATATCACTATATATGACATCAGTGGTATTCGTATAGATGACGGATAGACAGATGTAGGGATGAACGCTTCGCCCAACCCTTCATCTTTCACTCCGTGGATATGTTGCCATTTTTTAAATCAGTGACACGACATAAAATGACGCTAAATATATATAGAAATGTTCCACACAGAGATATATCTTGAACACTTGCAGATGTTCATACAACCAATGGGTTACACTTGTGCGATGACGCCAACAGGAGCATGAGTATTGGCAACACCAGAAGCGATAAGTTGCTATGAAGCGCTGGTGCACGCGAGGATGGTAGCCTTGCACAGTGCTGCATAATTCAGCTTCAGAGGATGGCAACTACCTACCATCGACGTTAAGGCAGCGTGAACGCTGCATCATAGGAATACACATGTAATGTTTATAAATTGGGATCGGTAGCACTGCAACCACTATTGACGTTTCACGAACATTAGCGTCTATTTGAAAAGTAGTTCCGAGAGCTGCATTGGCTCCATGGTTGAATACTTGATTGGCACGTAGAATATTGAGGTTCGATTCCTGCTGGGACACTAAAATTTATTCTTTGTGTTCGTCGGTTAAAGCAGCTGATGTCCGCTTTTTTTAACGCTCACGCGTTCAATTACCCACGTGTGTTCTCGTCGTTCCTGGGTAGGTACTAATCACCTGTAGCACATACAGGTATGTGCTACACATACAGGTGTAGCACATACACGCCCACGGGTATGTACCACTCTGGCGTAAAGCGTTGGACGACGTGCGCGACGTGATAGGGACATCGCTCATGTCTTGACCAGCGCTTGATATTCGTCAAGTCATCTCACCCTCCCGTACTGATTTTGGTTCACGCCATGTTAAGGCGGTCATCACGAGATCTCGCAGACGTAAGCGGCTATATAGATAGACTTTTAAATATAGATACAGATAGACCTACGACTTTAAGCTCTCCTGGCCATTTCGAAAACGGTATCGATACCAAATTTGGTAAGGCATAACATGACTGTATGAAGAACATATTGCATAACCTGCCTGTACGAAGAACATAAAGTCTTCATACAGTAATGTTATGACTGTATGAAGACTAGTCATAACATAAAAATTATGACATGTAAGTCATGAACATCATGATTTACATTTCATGATCCTCCAGGTCTTGTGGTGGTTTCGTTCACATGGTATGTTCAGAACTGGTATGGTATTGCATGATGGCATGGCGAATACAAGCGACAGACTTTGACATGAAAATCATGACATGCGTGTCATGTAACAACATGACTACATGCCACGCTCATGATGCACCCGCAGCTGTTTCGCTAGGGTCACATCTACAAAATCTGGTTACTGTACGAGAATGGATGATGAAGGTATGTGACTGGTGCAAACATGCTAATCTTGATATGTGTATCATGTAACAACATGACTACATGCCACGCACATGATCCGATGGTGGCCGTTCTACTAGCTTAACTTATACAAAATTTGGTATTACTGGTCGTGAAGTGAGGACGAAGGTATAATACTGGCGCAAGCATGGTAAACGTGAGATGCGTGTCATGTAACAACATAACTACATGGTACGCTCATGATGCGCTCGCGGCCGTTTCTTTAGCTTCACGTATACCAAACTAGGTATTACGCGAAGCGAAAAGACGACATAGGTAAATGACAGATCCATACATGATCATCACGACATGCATGTCATGTAACAATATGACTACATGCCACACTGGCATATGTGAAGCTCGCGGCCGTTTCGCTAGCTTCACATATGCAAATTCGGTATTACGTGACGCCAATGAATGACGAAGGTATGTGACTGGTGCTAACATGATAATCAAGGGATGCGTGTTATCTGAGAACATGACTACGTGCCACAGTCAAGGCGCCACTACATTTCTACGTGACGTGGTGGGCGTGCTCGCTGGTGTTCATTTCGTCCCGTGACGCTGGCGTTGCCACGCTAAGCGCCGATCCTGTCATATATATACTCGCAGGTGCGCGCCCCGCTGCCCTGCTTCGACGCATGCGTGTTTACGCGCGTTCAGTGTCCCTCCGTCACGAAAAAAGGGAGACGCACTGTTGTCTAGGTAACGTATTGGTGCGAAATGCAGCATGTCACATTTCGCGCCGGTTGCCGTCGGGCCGCGCCCACGGACTCTGGTTGCGTCTGGCGTCACTCTATAGAGTGGACTCGTTTTGCTAACGTTGCGTCACTGTGCCCAGCGTGCGCGCGCGGCAACGCTACATTGGAGTATATTGGGCCCTTCATGATGTTCTCACGGCCGTTTTGCTCACTCCATATATACCAAATTTGGTATTACGAGACGTCGTTGGATATCGAAACGTATGACCGGTGTAAACATGATAATCCTGACATGCGTGTCATATAAGAACATGACAACATACCACGTTCATAGCGTGCCCGCTGCTCTTTCTCTCACCCTAAATATATTAAATTTGGTAGCACGTGACATGAATAGATGGCGAAGGTAAACGACACATCCAGACATGATAATCATGACACGGAAGTCAAGTACGGCATCATTTGCCTCCTCCTCGTAAGGTTGTGCTGATTTTGAAGTGACACATCAACATTTCTCATTCGTGCTTCGCGTATCATCGATTCCCATTGTACGTGGGATCTGCCCGTTTATGTTTCTGGTGTCATTGTTGAAATTTCTGTAAGCGCCTACCCGATACAATGCGCATTTGTCTCTTGGTATAGGAAATGAAAGCATGCAAAGCTCAATACGCATGACCTAAAATATTAAACAACAAAGGTGCACCGAAATATTCATAATAGGTGCTCCACAGTTCACTTCACTACTTGGCAGCTGTTCAAAAAAAATAAAAGATAATAGTCTATTTCTTCATTCAGCCCTCAATATATACAGTTGCGAATAACAAACAGTTAAAACACGGCAGAATCCATAAGTCCTGCCACCACACTGTGCAAAATTGTAGGATAAGCGTATTGGATGCTGATCTTGTTACCTTGCAAACAAATTAGAGCATTAAAAAAGACCTGAAACCATCAAAAAGAACACGTTCCGTGTCTTGTCATACGTGTACCTTCCATTTTCATGCGTAACACGCTTTGAAATTTTCAGGTAAGAAAATGGCTACTCACATCTGCTGTCTCGTCAATGTAGACCTCGGGTTTGAAAAGAAATGCTTTGAAGAGGGTGTCCATGCGTTGTACATCGTCCTTCGATCCATGGCACTGGCCTGCTGCGTCTTTAAAGTTACAATTGTTGATGATGATGCACAGGCCCCTTTTCGGGAGAGTCATGGAGTACATCTGCGCATATAAGAGCAAATACTGGTACTTGTAGGCATTGGCAAGAGAAAAGTACTTTGGTACACTTAGTATGACTACGCCTTGCGTATGCACATGGCTTGTTACTACACCTTATTTGATGGTGGAAGCGTTATGTCTGCAATGGTTCTCAGGTCAATGCCAAATGACATTGAAGCAGCTAAGCCTTCATTGATTTTCGATCGTGCAAGTGATACCCATTGAGATCAACACAGGCTTTATCCGGCTCTAGTGGGATATGCACGAATGATGGCGTGTAAGGCAGAAAATGAAGAGAGTAAGTGCCTCATACTGCTGCTCGATCTGTAAATGTTATCAGACAATGTTGTTATTGGTGCGGACAATGGCCCTGCTTTCAGAAGATAGCGTTTAAAGTAATGGCCGGGACAGCCAAATATAGAAATACGTTTCACAAATCTATATCACCCTAACAAAAGGAAGTTTATTGTGCAGTTTACTTGTAAATACACAAACGAAACATCGAAAACAAGTAAAGTCAGTGTATACAACTTACAGAAGCTAACGGCATGACTGAAAGAGCCACAAGCAATAAGTAAACAAAATAATAATTTTTTACAATATTTGAACTTTTTACTGATGTGTTGAAATGTTCGTGTTGACAATGAATATTTTTGCGAATGTTGTGTACCTTTTTTTAGGGCTTGCTCAATGCGATGATTATTTTTCTACATTGCAATGTTATTTCCAAAAAAACAATGTACTTCATTTTGCATAAATATTAAAATTTATGCATTTATTGGTTAAATTTCCAATAGGGAAGTAATGTATTACTTAAAAATGGCTGTTTCGCTGATTTTTATTGATTTTTAAGAACTGCTGTCTGAATACAAACGATTCATCTGTAAAGTGGGCGTGCATGTTTTTTTTTTTGCCGCAAGAAGTGCCAACAGATGAACGTATTTGCGACAATTGTGACCGCCGCCTATTTGACTCCTAAGAGACAGCTAATGAAAGCACACCCAAATAACAGTAAAATAAAAAGCTGACCTTTGCACAAGAATGCTCAAACTGAAACTGAAACCCCTGTGGCACGATGGTAAGGCCAAGAAAGGAACCTTGTGAGCCGCTAGGGGTGCTAGCAGTCATGTGGGCCACATGGTTCAATGAGAGTGGCCGCTCTTTACGTTCGCTATGTTACTCTATGCGTAAACTTTGGAAGTGAATAAAAACAAATTCTAAACGTTGGCAGTTTGTTTGGTGCCGTTAGGGGAATCGTTACCACGGACAAACATAGAGATAAACAGACAGAGAAAAGACAGGCAAACCAAAATTTTGCCGTCGAAGGTCCCCGAGAAATACTATCGTATTTAAAAGCCCCTCATTTGGGCACGTAAACTTTCCAAGTGAATAAAAACACATTGTGAACGTTTGCAGTTTCTGACCAATCGTATGGATTGTTCTTGCGTATGCAGGAAACCCACAAGAGACTTGTTATAGCCTAAAAATTGATGACAACACATCTTTAAGTCCAAAGCATTTCTTAAAGAACAAAAGGCACTTCAACGTTTTATATAAACGAATTCATCTATCTAGCCACCTACGTCCGGGAGCATCTGTGATCGCCTTCCAAATTTGACAAACACCTGATTTGCACGACAGTGCATTTGCGTGCGGCGGAGAACAACAGAGGGTCACTAAAATAATAGAATGCGATATTTGAGGCACACGTATTGAAGGCGTTTATTTCTGCCGCGTGTGGCATATACACTTGCACTACGGTCCATAGAGTGCAGGTATGAGCCACAGGAGCAGAGGTGACAGACTGCGTCCCAGAAATTGTGGGGCACGCATCAGCAGAGTTGTCGCCGATGATAATAAATGAGGGTCGTGAAGGTCGTAAAATGTGAGAGCGGGAACTGATCCCAGACATTCTGCGGGGCCGTCATGTCTTCTACAACAGAGCCACGTTTGTGTTTCATTTCATTCATTCACTGATTATTCAGACAAAAACAATGATTGCCTAGGTTGAAGGGACTAAAGGCAGATTACCTCTGCCTGACTGAGGTCCCTCCACCCACACATTTGCTCAGGTGAAGTGGAACAAAGGACACAAATTTTATTCTGCTTTTGAAATAGGGGACACAAAATTCAAATTCAGCAAATATAACAGATGTGGACAAATACGTTTTAAAATAACACATTACAGTCATCATCAATTTAAGAGAAACATATCAACTTAAGAGAAAGACTCTTCATTGGCATCCCATCGCGGCAACGCCAACTCTGCTGGAAGTGTTTGGAATGGGCTTTTATGGTGATTTAATAAACATCACTTATGAAATTTTATGTCTCACCAAGCTACTTTCCAATATTTCTTAACCTGGAGTTGTACAGTAATAGCAAGTTCTTTAATGCGGATATTGTCGCGCTGTAGCGTGCCGTTCATCAGCCTGACACACGTGCTCTGATGTGTGAGTGCCGTTGTTAAGTTCGACCACTGGATATTATATATGTATAAGTGTAGTTCCCGTCCCTGCTAACTCCATGATCAGTACCTTTACGGGAGGGGCGGACACCCATGAGTAATTCCCCTATATTGCTGCGTCTTCAAATAGCTACTCTTCCTAATGTAAGGCTTTTCCTCAAAGAGTCCAGGACATCTATATGTTACAGCCCACCCCTTTCCCTCCTCGCAAAAGTTTCATGCTAGGACTTGCATCCAATAAACTCATATCTACTCAAAAACAGACAAAGCAAATCAAGCCACGTTTCAAGCAGCTGCTAGCAAAGGCGCAACGTGCACACAAATGACTCTTACTTCCGGTCCGTACCAGAAGAAAGAGCCTGAACGAACTTGATCCCACAAGGAGTTCACGTCATGCCTTTCCGAAACAAGGGTATGTTCTGAAAAGAGTGAAAAATTGCTTCAATTAGTGGCTTGGGCTGCGATTCGGTACGGATTATATTACAAAACCTTCCCATTTGACCCATGCGGTTGGTGTATGTTGGCATAAATGTTTTCTTTTATTAGTGGTGCTTACTAAAGCCTTTATCAATCGCGTGTTGTCAGAGTAAATGTTTGGCACGGGGATGTAGTAAACGCCATTAGCTCTGGATGTCTTGCAACTCCAACGTGATAGTAACCATCATAACTATAATAATTTTTAGGTTTCAACGTCCCAAAGTCACCAGATGACTGTGAGAGACATAGTAGCAGAGGTCTTTGGAAACATTGAAAACCTGGGATTCCTTAACGTACACCTAAATCTAAGGGCTAACGGACCTCAAGCAATTTCACCTCCATCATAAATGCAGCCACTGCAACTGAAATTCGATCCCGCGAAATGCACCGTCCTGATGTTAAAGCCTGCAGAATACAAAACGTTCCCCCCCAAAAAAAACGAAACTGAATACTGTTAGAAAGAGGGGCTCATTGCAACTGTTATGTTGTACTATAGCTACAGCCGCAACTGTGTGCCAGTAATTCAAAATGCTTTTTACTCAACGCAATGCCACGTAAAGTGTATACTTTTACATTAGGGAAACCTTTTTTTACGGAACTTCTTGACACCAAAACGTACATCCTTGCTTCCGCAGCCACCGCCGCCATATCATGCTTACAAACTCGGATAATTCACAGCGAACGTTTGCGCCGACGAGAAATGAGCCATCTTGCACAATGCTCGCTGTTGCTACTTATACGGGTGAGTTCCCGAATGGCCTTTCTAAAGCCAACTTTTGCACTTCTGAATAACATTTTCCCTCAAAATGCTTACTGACTACCATATTTGCGTTTTCTCATTACGTATTTTTACGCCTTAGGAGACTGTGTACATAGCCGGATGAAAAAAAAACACATTTTGCTTTATGCGGATCGCTTCCCTTCTACCGGTAAAAAGACGGTTGAAATAAAAAGCAATGTAGGTGCCATGGAGTGTTTTGTGTATGCATTGCAATCAAGATTAATCAATGAACATTGTCCTATTCCTTGACATGACTACGAAGAAAGTCCGAAACGACCTTCGTATCCTCGCTCGTGCGTCTCATATAATCACATCGTGGCTTTTGGGAAGTAAACTCCCAAATGATACGTAGCAGTGACAATACAATAGAGCATCACCCACCACACCACGTCGTGTAGGCATCGGGAACGCTTTCAGCTGACCAATTCACCTCAGAGGGTGGCAGCTCTTGTTCTTTGACGGTGCCATTTCCTGGTAGAAGCTCCCGTTTCAGCAAGTTGACCGCCTCTGACATACGCCTTTTGAAATGCTCTCTTACAAAAGGGTCACAGAGCGTCGGGAGCCTAACACGGTGCAGCAGGTATAGGCAGTGCTTGTCCTGATACTTTTTGCGCTGCAACACAGAAGTATAGAAAAGCACAGATGTTGAAAGATGTCTAAAAACACAGCACAAATGTTATCACATCCTTGTCAATGGCTTGAACCGTACTCAAAACGCAAGACTAATGAAATGTAAGGAGCGCGATCAATTATGCTGAAGGCAGTAACGGTGCAGAAGTCAACAATATACCAGCGCCTACGTAAAACTATGAAAAAGAAAAAGATCACCGCCCAAGCTGCCGTAGAAGTGGTTAACCAGCGAAAGCTGAGACGTGCGGTACTGGTGTTTAGCAGTGCGTTCAACCCAATGGGGCACTGAAGCAATTCCCAAATAATGGCTACAAGCTCGTGCTTCCTAATGAGATGGTAGACATTTTTGATTTTGGTTCAATACAGTATAAAGTTCGCATATCAAGAGTGCAGATGTCGGGGACCAACTGTGGGCTGTCCAGAGGGCCCCCGATGTGGCGGTCGGGCTTGACCTGACTGTCCCAAAGTGGGAGCGGCCTGCAGTGCGTTGATTCGTGCCCCTGAGGATCCGTCCATGCCGAACATTGTGCCTCACATGATTACATTCATGGAGGAGTGTAATGAATTACTAAATGCGTTTCGAAATGCGGTAATTACAGTGGTTGTTCTCGAAGCATAGGCGGTCACAGACGTCGCAGCTGAAGCCGAAATGAAGCTGGAGAAACTTGCCGAAAGCGAGCGCTGTAGAGCCCAGCGAATGTGCTCCCTCCAACATTACGTGGACGCTGTTGTGCTCGCAATGCCACTTTTTTGGCACGGCGTTGACTTACGCAGCTGTTGCTGCACGTCCACCCTTGTCGACTTCTCAGCGGGTGCGAGTACCAGCGACTCTAGTACACCGCTGTCTTATGGCAACCGCTGGCGTGCAGCTCATAACCGCCTCCTCTGCTACGCGTGCGAGTAGCCAGGCCATGGCGCATGCTTTTGACACCAAGTGAACCAAGCGCTTTACACACCAAGTGAACAGAAGTAAAACAAGTCCGCGGTGCTAATCGCCGAATGCGAAATGTTTACCCCAACTTTACGTTGACGCTGTTGTTCCCGCAAGGCCACTTGTTTGGCGCGGCGTTGGTGTGAGCGCTTGACATCGCGAGCTAACTCGGCGGCGCGGTTTGCAGAGTCTGCCCGTCACCGGAACTTGTATTCACGTTCGCAATTAAGCACGGCTTTGAAGGCTACCGGACAATCGGTACGCAGTTGCTGCCGAAACTCGGCCTTCCGAATTTGCTATCGTGCCCGGACTGCACCATTGGCCCAGCGAATGTGATCTCTCTCACGTTTCCAATGTCGGCTCTCTTCTGGATTTGTCCGTGGCATTTGGACGCTTTAAACTATCAATCCAAACTATACTGTTAATTTGCGTATTTGACAGGGGAAAATATTTCTGGATGGCTAAAAAACTTCAGGAACTATTTGTCGTGCTCACACGTACCTGATGAGACGAGAGAGTTGTACCTTTGCCAGTGCCTGCCATAGCTTGTGAAACTTAGGATGTAGCGTTATCGTAGAAGCTTACTTTGCGCCATCATGGTGGTTAAAAACAATTTATATAGTACAAATATGTGTGTATGTGAATAGGAAAAGCTTTGAAATAAACAACCAGGAAATATAAGTTTGAAGGAACAATAGAAAACACATAGAACCAAAGTTGTCAATATGGATCTTAGCGTTTAGCTTGTCCACCTGTACGCATACACATCATGGAGAGGCGTGGGATTTTTCTGCTTCTTGACGTTCTGTAGTACGTGATCTTACTACGAGTGGGCAGCTGACCAATAATCCCTCGCACGCTACCTGAAAGCGTCCCCTCTGGCACAATTAGAGCCTCACTATGAATGAAAGAAAGAAGTGGAAATTTTAAGGGCTCGTGTTCTTTTAAAAGACACAGTTGATTTATATGTGGGGTTGAACTTCCTAAAACTACAATATGAATATGAAAGACGCCATAGTCGATGGCTTCGGAAATGTCGACCACCTGGGGTTCTTCAACTTGCACACGAATCAGAGCCCACGGGCCTACGGAAGTTTCACCTTCATCTAAAATGCAGCCGCCGCCGCAGTAGGGGTTCCATCCAGCAGCCTGCGGGTCAGCAACTGTGTGTTAGACAAAATAAGGCAAAGGCAACTGCAGATGATCTCATTTGTGGTAAATCGTGTGTATATGTGAAAAGAGAAAAGGGGATCGAAAAAATAACTTGCCGAAGGAGAGGACCCTAGCCTGCGACTTTCGAATAATGTGTCCGATACTTTATCAACTGAACTAATGCGGCACCCAACTTCCCAACCCGCCCCCTGTCCACTTTATGGGGTGCATGTGCGTTTAAACGTTGTAGCACCAGTCAACGCCACTAGCCGTCATCACAGCGAGTAGGAAGCACTTTTTTTTTGCTTGTTGGCGTCGTGTATCGTGTGATGCTATTACTACAAGGCTGGTGACTATTAATACCTGGCATACCACTTAAAAGCATAAAGACCTTCGCTAGGAGCGGAAATTTTAATTGCTCGTTTCGTTTTTTTTTTTGTTGGATACAGCGTTATTGAGATTTAACAGACAATAGTGCCGTAGGAGGTGTAGAGGACGTTATTAATAGTAAATGGAACGTAAATGTGACGAAATGAAAATTGACGAAAAGACTACTTTTGGTGGGCTGCGACCGAACCTGCCACATTAGTTTACCACGTACGATGCTCCACAAATAACATTCCATAACATGTGCTATGTTTTTACTTGCCACTACTGTCTGCTGGTCGAACGATTATGACATTTTAGTGTGTGCGTCTTGATGCTTCCCTTCCTCTTTCATTCACGCTTCCTTTCTTTCTGTCTCCCCGTACCCATTCCTCATGGCAGGGTGGCAAACCAGATACTCTCTTTGTGGTTCACCTCCCTGCATTTCTTCATGCCATACAAATATATATCTCTGACTGTCTGTTGATTGTCAATATTAGTGCTCTGAAAATCAAATTCATAGATCATGACTTATATAGTTCAGTGTTGTTGGTAGACTCAACAAAGGATTCTAACTTAGCACAAAACTTAATTTCAGTCTTTGTGAGGCACCACTTTCTAAATATTAATTTTCCTTAAATTTAGCAGAACAACATTTATTCCCGCTTCAAAAAATATTGTCCTCATTATCAAGAAAGTCGGCAGAATAGGTTTCGAGAAAAAACTGGCAAATATAGAACTATTGTCTGTCTAGCATGGCATAAAAGGTGGCACATGCGTGCATCGTTGTACTCAGGTGGTAACATAAGAAAAAAAAACTTCAAAGGAACGTTGTTCATACATTTATTACGGCTGTTTTCATTTCAAATATTTTTATGCATTCATTGCACTGTCGAACCAGGCATTTTCTGCAAAATAGCGGCTGTGCACTTATGCCGAACCCACGCGAAGGCGACCTACAACAGGTATACATCGTACTACATAATTCGGTGATTGTAGTAAATAGCTGCTCCTAAAGCGAGCTATGATTGGCGCCACTTGTTCAAGTAAAGCCTCGGCTACAACAAACATTAAAATGCTCCGATGTAAAACTTTAGAATAGCGAGAGCTGTTCAGTTAGCAGTTATACCATCGGTCAAAATCAAGTACGAAAATGGTTCGTTGAAGAAAAGTGATCGATGCGCAAAGAAAAATTTTTGTCTCCGTTGCAAGTGAACTGCTAGGCTCTTTTAAGTGAACGGGTAGAATGTATCACTTCACAGACATGTTGAAGCGATATTTTTAAGGTGTTCATTGAAGCCAATGAAGCATATAGTGACCAATATTCATGGCATATGCGAAATCCTTGTTGTTGGCCGCGCCACCTCTCACTGCCAAGCAAATCATTTAAAATAGCCTTCTTGTGTACATCAGTAGTTTACAGGACCAGCAAAAGCTGTGCCCTTTTTAGCCATTTATTTTTTTTTACGACGGGCGTTTTAAACATATCGGTATCGTCTAACCCGTTGGTACTTCTCTTCTACAAAGAATGAATCAAAACCTTCTTAATGTACATCATTAAAAGAGCTGTACTTCTTTCCCTATTTTGACAGAGATGTGTGTTTTTCTTTTCAAGTGTACTGTAACACCACACGACTACAACTCCTACCCGTCCTAGTCATGACTGCAGCTCTATTAGGACGAGGCTACATACTGCGTTCACACATGGAACAAAAGACTCGACAATCACCAGTGGTCTTGAGTATACCAGATGCCACTAGAAGTGCATTCGGCTTCGTATTCTTGAGAGTGTTTCCGCGGATAGCTACAACGGACCGTAATAACATTTTTTAAACGCATACTAACACAAGGACAAAGACAGGGAACGCACAATAGTAACTATGAACTTGATCTTTTAATCATCAAAGTAAAACATTTACCCGACACTACACCCGCTGCCCATGTGCACCGGCGTAGGTACTATCGCGCCGGTGCTATTGCGTCATATCCGGTGTTATCGCGCCATATCTTCTCCTACTCATCATTCTCTTCAGAAGCGACAGTTATTTTTTCAGAAACAGTTATTTATGGGCGGCTGATACAAGACGACGCCCCGATGAGGATGTGATATTCCGCTGCGATATTTGGTGTGATGCGATTATGGTGCCCAAACAAGACGACTGTATTCGAAAAGCGTGTCTTGCACTCACTACGCAGAATGTATCACCATATGCATTAGCAGCCTGCCCTTCAAGGACATCCCTGTGTCAGTTTGCGCTAGAAAAAAAGGTTATTATGATGTATACGTACCAAGAAACTTATCCATCAGTATTACTTCACCCACAACAGCTTTTGTCAATATTTTGTGATTTATGAGACAGGTTGCACCATTCATCTCCTCGCAGCTTTCTTGCTAGGCCTGCTCGCAAAACTGCCGCACTTCTTTTTCCCAGTCTGTGTCGGCAGCGTATCATCGCTTCACGTGACCAGGCCTGCCTCACCCGCCAGAGGCAGTGAATTGTATTGGCTGCCCTCTCGATCTTTTTACTCGTGTAGGCGTTAGTTTGCAAGTACAACGCCAGAGTAGTTCTTATGTGTCTCTACGTTAGAGTGTTAGATTTTAATGAAGAAAAATATCTTCTCTCAGTTTTGAAGCTTTCAAATATAACGCAAAATTTTTACATTGGTGATGACTGGAAACCGGATTTTGAGGAAATGCATATTTGGTTTCCCCCGTTGCAATCACCTCATTTTGATATACAGGCATGAATTCGAACTCAGGAGCTTCTATATTGTTTTCAAAGTGCCTGTTTAGAAAGAGTCTATTTACAGTATGTAAATAACACAAAGGCTTCATAACGTTCTAGTAACAGGGCATGTACATTTAGGCACATCCGTGTATCACGACCAATACCACTACGTTCTAGTGAAGACAGTTGCTCTAATATACATGAGCCCCGCCACGGTGGTCTAGTGGCTGAGGTACTCGTCTGCTGACTCACAGGTCGCGGGTTTGAATCCCGGCAGTGGTGGCTGCGTTTCCGATGGAGGTGGAAATGCTGTAGGCCAGTGTGCTCAAATTTGGGTGCACGTTAAACAATCTCACATGGTCGAAATTTCCGGAGCCCTCCACTACGGCGTATCTCATAATTATATGGTGGTTTTGGGACGTTAAACCTCACCTATCAATCAATCTAATCAAATGTCAACTTTTTGTCACGTTGGCGACTTTTTCTGCTGGTTTGCCACCTTATTTGTAGTTTTCGGGTAATATTGATATTATTTTTTGACGTTGTTACTTAACCTTTTTGGTACCCCAAAACTTTGCCACTAATTGCACGGTAACTATATCCTAAGAAACGCTTCGTTGCGAAAACATACGCCTTTTATACATTCCGTACATTTGGTAGCGCCAAATGGTAATGATGAGACTCCTACAGCCGCCACAACGTGATTTTCTCTTGAAGCGTTGTGAAAGATACGCTTGTGAAGCCCGTCGGTTCAGCGTTCGCATATATGAGCATTCTTATTGTTATATAGGTCTTTATCCAAGAATGCTGAGCGGTGATAATCGATTATCTCACCTTAATTTTGTCTATTATTTCGGCAGTACAGGTCTCCATGGTGGGCACGGTGGCCGACGAACCGCTGAAATCAATACAGGCCACCATGAAGAAGTCATGTTTCTTCAACTTGCTGGGTTGCTTGCAATTCATCACACACGCACCCGATTCCACACCGCCACAGGCTATCTAACAAGGAGCAGCAGGCAGGTCACCGCCGGTAGTAGGCACACACCCACGATAGAGTGGCCGTGCACACAAGTCCTCGGCAGAGGCGCACGGAAATAAGTGATGTCAGCTTGTAGATACGCTCAGGTTTTATCAGCGCTTGGAGTCCTCGCCGCTTCGACTGGGTTTCTAAAAACTCTGAATGTTGTTCACTCGTCACACAAAGGTCGTGGAAAAAATGAGAAACAAAGTAGAACATAGACTAAATAGGGGGGCGGATGCTGCCTTAGCGTCACCGAGCTGTCAGCCAAACAGGTATTCAGAGCTGAACAATCACGCCGCAGGTCTGGACAATGTACAGCTGAGTAGCTGGCTCTGTCATAACGCCACGCGGCGGAATGAGAGAGAGAGAGAATCGGGAAAGCGTTGCCTTTCCCGTAAAGTTCATTCGGTGGTCAAGAGTGGCTCATAACAAAAGCGCGCTCTTCTTTTGTTCATTTCATGTAGTGTGCAGTTTGAAATTTCGAAGCGTGGTATATCGAGCTACTTGTTTGTTTATTTTTGTTCCTTTTTTTTCGGTGCATCTGGTGCCAGATACACCAAAGATGTCTGAGTCTACCAAAGTTTGTTGCAAATAACGTGTTGTATTTGGAAGCTCGCCTACCTTCCCTGCTAAATAGGTCTAAAATACTTACTGTGCAAGCATTCCTGAAGATATATAGTTCACACCAAAGACTCTCATTTCACGTTTTCAATCAAGAATCAGCTTTATTTTTCGAAACACATTCGTCAAGACATTTGTCAAGACCCCGCAAATAATATTTTCACAAGCGCTACTACATCAACTGAATGTAAAAATTAAACATATTGGTCTAATACACAACCTAAATTCAATACTTAGCGTACAGTTTGATGATATATTTCCTCATAACGCAAAACAATTGGCACATAGGTACTTAAATGACCAGTTGACAGATTATCTAGCTCACCTAGAGATAAGCAATATCATTGCGACTAGTGCATCTGTTTCAAAAGAAAATGCTGGAGTCGGTATCTTCTTCTTTGGACTGGTCCTTTTTGATTCGTCTCCAAGATTATGCCCCTGTATCCATTTCAGAATTATTAGCTATTTTTCTTGCCGTACGCAAATTGCCCTCAAGCGAATCATTAGCAGTTATCATTAAAGATTAGTTATCAGTATGTAATGCACTTTCTGCGGCAGCAAATTTAGAGCTGATGAATACGTTTCGGAATTTAGTACCGAAAACGTAAAAAAACTGCATTTGCTAAGGGCACTGGCCCACCGCGAATTATATTTGAACAAAATGGCGGACTCTTTATTAGCAGTATCCCTGCGTGGGTCCACCATCCCAGTTTTGCCAGATACGGCTTACGAGACAGCGCTAAGGTTCCGAAATGCTTGTCTGCAGTGGGGAATAGGTAATTTGGATAAATTTAAAGATTTTGAGCATTTGAGGTATTGCTGGAATAAACATTGGTGTGTATCTCGTCTGTTAGAGGTCACTTATACCAGATTGCGCTGTGCAGTTCCACAACTAAATTATTACCTTAACAAAGCTCGACTCAAGGCGTCACCGGTGTGCATTTTTGCAATGAAATTAAAACAATCAAAAATTTCTTTTTATTCTGTCGTCGTTGCTCTTATCAGACAAAACGATTTTTAGTAGCCCCCTTACAAAAGCTAGGAATACAAGTAAATATACTAGTACTTTTATTACGTGGTGGCACTTCATTTGCTTATTGCCACAAGGATATATGCTCCACTGTGTTTGGTTACATCAACGCAACTAAAAGATTACCGTGCTAGTGAGCCCTTTTCAGATCTTTATAATTCGTAGCGATGTCTGTCAAAAATATAAGATGGTTTGACCATTTGCTCAGCATTTTGTTTATTGGTAGTATTATCTGTAAACTAATTTTTCATATTGGCTTTAATTTCATTTTAGTTTCATTTGAGTACCCTGCCGCCCGGTTCTTGGCCCATCCCCCTCTGTGCGTGAGCGCCATCCGTCCGAGGTCATCAGCATCAGCATTTCGGAATAGCCTAGATGAGAAATTTAGATCATTTCTTTTTGACCTGCAGGCGGTATAACACATTACGAAAAACCCTATTAGAAATACCTTTACGTGGTATTGGTATGGACTTATCTCTGCTTGTCATTTTGTCTTTTGGAGCTTCCATTTCTGGTTTTTCTAATGCGACAGTATGCACGGCCGTCGGGGACTATATTGATGAAACTAATACGTTAACTAATTAATCAGTTTCATTATCCTAACATGTCCACCTTATTATGTACGTATAAAATCAGATTATTGCTCTATTTTAAGGATAAATTTGTTTATGTAAATATTTGTATGCATTACATTAAGCACCACACTTTCCTAGGTTATCGGTAATCTTTCTGTTAAACCTTCATCATTCTAAATCTGAGCAGTAAATTTTGAAACCACTCGATTCTTGGCCGATCTCCCACAGTAGGTATGCGCCACTAACAATAGGAGAACAACAACAACAACAACTTTATTTTATGGTGAGAAAACACGTTATCGCAAGAATTATTCACGGGAGCCGTCAATGCATCTTCCCTGTAAGGGTTATGCAATTCCGGCTAAGAGCAGGAAGGTGCCTTTGGACCTCGTTAATTAGCACGGTAACGGTAAAAGTAAGAACAAAGCCACACATTAAATATTTATTGCATGCAAGCCCGCACATTGCATTGTAGTACATCTGAAGCACACCACAATTATTGCCATTTGAAGCTATAGTGATGGGATTCAGTTGGAAAAATAAAGAAAATTCAAGGAATGTGTCCCCTCAACATTGGGGTCAGATGGCTAAACTACCACAAATCATCAAATGACGCAACTGTCTGTTGAACGCGTGGTGTAGAAAACAAGTGTCACATGTCGTTTTAAACATCAGGCTGTGAGTATGACCCGGGGCTCCCATGATGTGAAGCGGTACATTACCCTACCTCTTTCTATGTCCATTGGAACCCATGAGCATGGACAACTGAGGTACGGCTTCCACGATAGAGCACCACGTAAATTCACAACCGGGATGGTATCATAGATGAAATTTTTCTAAAAGACTTCCAAATAAATGCGCCATCAATATGATAATAACAAAAGCTGGACTTTTCGAGGCACGCTGTACTCGTGTTGCGCGGTATCATGCGAGGTTATCACAAGTCGTTTCCCCGAGTCAACATAACTCAAGTCGCTGATACGCGTGCGATACAGCTAGCGGAATGTTCTTTCAATAATTGTGACCTTTAGAAAAAAAATGTCTTCAGCCCGATGAGAATGAATATAAAAGAATAATAACAAACAAGCGTTACATTCAAGTTAAAACTTTTTGCTCTCCCTCTCTCTTTTTTTTGCCTTCCGCCACATGCGTCATCTCTTGACTGCTTGTGTTTTCGGGTGTCAAATCTGGAACAAGAATTACGAAGGTGACAGGAGTTGATTAGTGTGTGAAGAGCTTCATCTTCATCCACAACGAGCCGCCTAGCTTGCCGCACTCAGTCACAACTGTATGCGCGCTGATATGAAGAGGGACTCCTAGCACAACGCCCAACCAAAGCCTTCAATGCGGTTCTTCGCATTGTTCGGCGTACCGACAATCAGTCATACGAGCCGCCCACTACGCCCTCCCTCTCGGTCATGACGTCACAGTTCGTTTTGCCACATGTCCTCCTCCTTTGTTCGCGAAGAGCACTCGCTTTTCCGATTGGACGACACCGTCATCCAAGTGCTACGAAGGCAGTGTGACAAATGTGCTGCCAAATCACGTGATCGTAGTGCTAGCTTTTCAGGAACATATTCGCTACCGAATGCAGCCTGAACAGTTGGAAGCTGTGTTGCACAGAGTGGATGCAATCACCCAATACACGCGTCATGGCTTCCGAGGATGACAGTGGTTCGGAGGAGTTCGAAGTATACGCTGCGGGCTGCATTGATTTCGGTACTGCGCCGCCATTCACAAATTTCGTCCCTATGAGATCCTACAATGTGTTGAACGAGATTGAGGTGAGTGATCCGTTTTCACCATGTACCGGGCCCTTCGCATAAAGTAACGGGGGAGGGGGCATATGTTTGAAACATATCCCCTATCATTGCACCCGGTCAATCGACTGAGTACCAGCTGGCTGGCAAGCACGCAGCTCTGCTATTTACTATATGTGTTCCCATTATCTACCCACTGCGTGTGCTTTAGTTACTTCTTTTGAATGAAGATGACGACGCCCAAGTTTGCGTTGTTTGGCACTGCGGCGTACTGTACTGCGGCGTACTGTTTGGCACTGCGGCGTACTGTTTGGCACTGCGGCGCACTGCGGCGTACTGTTTGGCACTGCGGCGCACACCGTAAACTTTTGCTTTTCACTGATAAGTATTGCTCCAGCGGGTCATGTTTTCATGTAGCTCTGTTGCTCCGATATTTTTCTCTACTACGCGTTCATTCGCGGTAACAGCCACCGAAGATAACGCGCCGCTTGGGCTACTGCGAATGTTCGCCGTTTCATGGTAAGTATATCCAGTTGTCGCACCGACAAAATGTATACGCTGCAGTCTTCGCTTCCTCGAACGTGATAAGACGACGGGAATCCGTTTTGGTGCAGTCGTTTCGGGAGCGGTTGTGAAGAGTTCGCTATGATCGCGCTCATGCGACAGTTTTTGTGTGTGTGTGTGTGATCTTTTAGAGGCGAAGCTTCTTACAGGAGGATGGATAGCAAAGACAGCTGTGCGGCTGCGGCTGCCGTCGCTTTGTTACTTTTAAAGCAAAACCCACAAAACTTTGCAAGTTGCCTGAATAGAAATTTTAATAATTTTTTTGCGAACCTGGCAAGAAAGTACCAAGCCATTCTAAAAATATTAAAAATATCTCTGTCTCACTATTTCTCAAGTTTTAGAGAAACATTCATAAAAGGTGTTTTGCCTTAAAAATGGCGAAATATTTCCTGGTTACTATGTAAAATAATAGTTATAGGCATGTTTATTCTCTAGTGAAAGATTAGGTGTTTCAAGATTATAATTTTAGAGCTTTTCTATCGAAGAAAGGTTTTTGTAAAGAAATACAAACCTAGTGGCAACGTAATTTATTTTGCTTCAGCGAGGGCGCATGTTATTCACAAAGAAATCGCGCAAGTTGGCACTTAATAGCTGCCGTAGTTGCAGAGAAAATCTTCCTTTTCTGACGAAAATAAGTGTTTGTAGAAAACGCCCTCGAAAGTTCGAGTTGCCACAGTACACTTTAGGGATTGAAATGCTTCCCTAGAAGACAAGAGATACTTCCCTGCATACCAGCAGCTCGACGGAATTGTTCCACCTGACGCAATTTTGAAGACTGTCCCGAAACAGTTAGAATTACAACAACCGATTTATACAAAAAGGGCTCTGGCACCACGCGTATATCAATTTACGGGTCAAATAAGGAAATGCCGCGCCCTGAGCTGTTGTCGGACGACCGCCGGGCCGAGAGCGTCAGTTGGAGGAGAGCGCCACTGATATCCGAAATGGGCGGACGCCAACAGGCACGCGCGGACGAAGCGGTCCGCAACTTAGCGCGAGGCGAAGCGTTGGTGTCGCCAACCCGTCAGTCACAGCCGTCGTCAACCCAAGTTGGGAGCGGCAAACCACCACTCGAAAGCCATCGAGCAACGGACATTAGATATCACTGCATTGCGTCATATGACGGACGATAATCTGTGAGCTATTGTTCTGTATGTACTGTCTTGTCCTTTGAAGTTTGATGTGTCCTATATATAGAGTTGTCTGTTTCGTTTTACGTGTCATTTCCATTTGCTGTTTCCATGACGCTCCGATGTTTATGATGCATTGCCAATTACAACTTTATTGGTGTATTTGCATATAATGTCTCATGTCTATTCTCTTGGCGTAGGACACCAGTGCGCATGGCACAAAAGTGAAATCACAAGACAGGGTGAATTTACGGGACAAATATAATAAATCTGTATTAGCTGAGTGCACAGGTAACCAGTGGCAATGGATAATTTTCAGGGACCCTGAGAGTTTGAGAGAATGAAATCAGCAACAGGCTTAGCTAAAATAATTCTTTCAAGAAAATCGCTTTTCGAAAGGTTGTCCTTCTGTATTTTTTCTTTTTGAATTTTTTGGGGAAACAAAAATTTTGGAGACAGGGAATCAACTGCGCTTTAGAGATTTGATGTTCATGTCGATACCGTCTCAATTCTGAGACCTATTTAGTATGTCTCCATTTAGCCTATGGTTGGCTCTACGAGAGGGCCCTGCAGCATGTACATTTAAAGGGGCTAACTTTGGTTCTGCTTCAATTAACGAGAGGGTAACCTCATCATTTTGGGAAGCAGTACCCGTATCTTCTCGGAGATTCCTATACTTGCACGAACTGATTAGCTGATATAGGACAAGAACCCATAAAAGTTAGTAGCCAGGGGATATATAGCTTTAAGTATCGCCCGAAGAATGACGATGGATGGCGTCTCGATTGACAGTAACTCTTGCGCTCTTTGCTCCATGCGTGCGGATTTTGAGACCTAGACGGAGATGAGGATACCAGCAGTTTCGGCAAAAGGCTTTAATGGTAAAATCAGTTTCGCATATGTGTGGCCCCAGGATGCCGTCTTACTCGTGGTTCAGGCAAAATCGCCAGATGGAACCACATATCCGCACTGATAGCACAGAAAGGCGAGACGAACACTGGGGCGGGTAGCAGTCGTGCTTGATTATCCGGGAGATAGTGCTATTGTAGGGGGTCAGGAAGGCTAAGGGCTGGTGTTGATTTAGAATGCCGGCCAGTTGGTAGTGCTTATGAACGTTCGTGGCAATAACGAACAAATGCTTTAGTAGCGTCTGGTCGTGGTTTGTTCAAACGTACCTTTTTTACCTACTACTTCCCTGTCATAGCGTTGACTAAATGCAAGCTACGCGTGCTGCGACAAGGTACGCATGGGTTGGCTGTGCTTATATCGAGATTACATTGCCTGAAGATGCAGAAGATTTTTTTGTGAATGTCGGTTGAAGGCGAGAGGCAGAGGGTCGCGAGTGCGCAAATCGGGCTAAAGCCAGTAACTCCTCCATGATGATATCAAGTGAGGCGATGCCACAGGCATAAGAGGAAAGATAGCGAGAATCTCATCAATCTAGATCCATCTTGTATTTGTGTTTATATAATACATCATTTGTCTAGGTTTTCCGCAAATTAGGTTTCATTCCTATCCAGTTCTAGGCGAACAGACTTATATTCTTCGTCAACCAGAACGAATGTGCTACTTAGTGAGAACGCAAGCCACACTCAGAGTATTTTGTATGCACTGGCGTAGACGAAATGTCGACATGCGGTTCCTTGTTTAGGCAAGAAACGGTTGTTAAAAGGGTAAAAACTTCATTACCCGCGCTGTCTTTTTTACGATGACCTTTTCGTTTTGATGTTACGACATTGTCCCTATCTTCCCCCTTATAAAAATATTTTCAAGAATAAATAAATCAAACTGTCGATATCCATGCGCAATGGCGCAATGGCGCAACTTTTGAGCATTAAGCATATTCATCAGCGATTTTGGCATTGCCAAACGATAACTTAGTGGTAATAACTTCTCTGAATGAACTGCGCGGAACAAAATCGTACAATTGCTATGAGCCTAAAAAAATATCTAATGTAAAGCAAAAAGATATTTCAGCTTGTTTTCAGAAGAGACATTTTTTGGTGTAAATTGAATGTAAGTGCTGGCAAACAAACATATGGCCAATTTGAACCTAATATCGCCTTGTTAGTGTGACCATCTAGGTTTCCTCCTTTTGAAATTTTCTGCTGTCAGTGCAATTTCTACTAGGCCAGACTAGGTTACAACCATCAGAAACTTTCTAAACATCATCATAACAAAAGTTTTGTGAAAAGTGAACCAATGAGTTCTGTAGGTTAAACCAAATTCTCAATCACATTTGTTTTGAATTGCCCATGCCAGCACTGAGAAGTAGGAAGGAATTATGCACGCGTGCAGTATGCCTTTCTCGTCCATGAATCTCCTTTGTCGTGAGAAACTCAACACAAAATGCACTTCTAGTAACAGCTGTGCACAGCAAGTAATAACGCTCACTCACATTTGTGAAAAGAGTATTCCGAATCCAGAGTAATAACCACCACAGCCACAGCGCTAACAGCAAAACTGTGGCACGCACTATGATTGCAAGTTGACACACGAGGCGAATCGCGAGAGGCATCTGAAGCAGAAAAGTATGCAGGCACAACACACTATAAAGTTATAGTAAACTTGCGCACTGCAGCGACAGTTCCTCCACTCAAGTATTAGAGCTGCCGCGATGCCAACAGCCACTGTCATAGCTCACGAAAAAATACCGTAGCATGCGAGGTCATCGCTTATTTCTCTCACAAGGCCCGCATTGTAACGTATGTATACACTGCTAGGACGGTCGTTACAGCATCAAAAACATTGTCATTGAAGGGCTAGTGGCGTACTGTATTCATGGCTAACCGTCACACTTGTGGTATGCACGTAAAAATAATATAAGCAAACGTTAAGACGAAACAAATAAACGAGGTTGACGTGACCACAGAACACCTACCACGACGGAGTTCGGTCTGCATGCTGCGCCCTCTCCAAGTAACAAGAAGAAAAAAAAACGTGACCTCTGAAATGGCTAACGCGCGGCAAGTGTTTGCACTCTCGAAGGCTTCAAGAAAAAAAAGTAACTGCGGCAGTGGTCGACAGATCGCGCAGCGTTCGGAATGTCGTGGGCATTTTATGCATGGCTTGGGGGTATCCGCCTTCGTGAAAACCTGATAAGCTCTAGTAATTATTCCGTTCATTATTGTGAAACCATTAATAAACTTACGTTTGTCTAAGCATCAGATACAATATATTTACGTGTGCGCATGTTGTGGTATTGATACAAAACGTAAAAAAGTGTAAGAAAACCTACTTGTAACCTGTGCCACTATGGTCAGTCCAAATTCATCGCTATATAAGCTGGTGCGCTTTCATAGTAGGGTGTGAATAAACACGTCGAAGTGTGGGCCGTTGCTGTGAATGATTGATTGTTCTCTTGTTGCGTACTTGTTAGCGTATATGTTAGTGTACTTGTTGCGTACTATATGTATAGTATGTGACCATGTGTGCATGTGTAGCTATATGGATTGCATCAGCACATATTAGGCTTCCGGTGTCAGTAAGTAATCCTGAATGGGCTGAGGCGTAAACAATCCGCAAGGGAGTCGTGATAGTGGGTAAGACAACGTATGTCGTAGCAGGCAACATTTCCTTAGTTTAGTCCCTCTAGATGGCGCCAGCTACCACCTACTTCATGGCTGTGACACTTTCACACCTCCAGCTACTTATATAACGTTGAACATCTATCTATCGCCCGCCGCGGTGGTCTAGTGGCTAAGGTTCTCGGCTGCTGACCCGCAGGTCGCGGGTTCGAATCCCGGCTGCGGCGGCTGCATTTCCGATGGAGGCGGAAATGTTGTAGGCCCGTGTGCTCAGATTTGGGTGCACGTTAAAGAACCCTAGGTGGTCAAAATTTCCGCAGCTCTCCACTACGGCGTCTCTCATAATCATATGGTGGTTTTGGGACGTTAAACCCTACAAATCAATCAATCAACATCTGTCTATCAATGCTGCACTACAGATTCGGAATGGTTTCGCTGCGATCGAGTGTACGGTTTGGAGGCTTATCTCGTGACCTGCGGACCCGTAAACGCATGGATAACGTCGCTACACTACGTGAATCTGCGAGAAAGAAATACAGCAAGCCTAGCATGCACTCTTCAGGGGAGGGTTCTGCAGTATCCGTGTCTTTCGGAGTGAACGTGGCTTCGCTGACCGAACGAAACGTACTTGCTCTGTCGTTCTCTTTCGCAATGTGTTCACCGCCATAGGTTCGTCTGCTTGTTTTCAAAATCATTTCGTTCAATATCAAGCTCAGTGGTACCGTTTTTTATAACTTTCAGTGCTGTGTACTCCTTATCAGTCGAGAATCGTTGCATTTGCTAAGCCTACTCGTTTCGCCGGGGGGCAGCCATGCTGATTTTCATAAGGAGGAACGTGTTTCTCCGTGGATGAGGGAGCAACGTTTCTCTATTTAAAGACGAACATTGGGGACATCGCCGTTCCTCCCTAAATGGAGAGAACGTCACTCCATTTTTTTTCTCAGAGTGTAGTCTCTTTTAGCAGACCTAAACTATGAACACTAGTCTCGTGCCCGAAGAAGCATCGCAGCTCTCACTTCCAGTAACAGCATTAATGGGTTGCAGCCGAAGGGATTAGCGAGGGCGCATACTGCGTAGCCTGCCGATCGAGCGATGAGGCTCAGAGAACACCGACGCAACGCCACTCGCATGCTTAGGGGCCTCGGACTGGTTCGGACACGTCATGCACACACCACCTAGCGCGCGTCGTGCGCATGACGTGTTGATGCGTAGGCATAATTTGATGCTGCAGCTACCAAGCCCAAGAGGAGGACTATACTATCGATAACGAATCCGATTTAACGAGCTTTTACTGTACACTGTTTCAAAAGTAATACAAACCGCTAAATGCAAGCTTACTGCGATGTAAAATAAAATCAGTGGTACATACAAGCACTGCAGAGAAGTGTAAACAATACAGAGTTAACAGTCTTAGTCTTACAAATTTTGAGAGATGAGATTTACTTAAAATTGTACGTCCCAACGGTGGAAAAATCAGCCATATTGCGATAATATGCAGACTTCTGATAAACCGCGTAAAATTAGAAAAGCGAAATATTTGGAAAGAGACTTTATATGTATCAGAATTCTAGCGCTGTTAACCATCAAGGAAACGTGTCCTTATTCTGGTAGAAGATGCATGGGGATTGAAAACGCACCTCATCGCATGATGATTTAGTGCCGCTTCCAGATACTGTTTTTCTCAGCCCGTAACGAGAAAGTTCGATAACCTTTGGGGACTTAAAGATCATCATTGGGCTCGCAACGACGTCCAGCGCCTACCTGCATTTTTTTCTGGACGTAATGAGGGGTCTTTTAACGTGCACCTACCCAAACGTACACTGAACTCTGGGCGTTCATCTTCGTGAACACGGGGCCAGGGTTGGGATCGGAGCTCTATCCAAAGACATTTGGGCCTAGAATCCTGCACGGTACGCGGTTGATCACTGCCGTCGGTCACTTTTCGCCAGCCGTCAATACTAAGTACAAACAGCATGCTAATAACGAAGATGTGAAGCAGGCTGTTTTATGTTTATTGCACCTTGAGGAAACTTTCTGTGACAGTATAGGCAAGGTAGCGCAGCCCAAGCAAATGATTTTTGCTACACTTCTGCATGCAGTGTGCGAACGCTAACGTTTTGTATTGCGTGTCATAACTAAACACACAAAGGAAGGAGAAAGAAAACGGAAAGGAAAGACACAACAACAAAACATACAGATGATATACACAAAAGTGATCACATTGTTGTCAAGGAAGCTAATTCCGCGTGGTATTTTTGTTTTGTGCTGTTTCTAGTTTTCAGGTGTCATTTCACCTTTTTTACTTCCCCAGTAAACAATGAAGGGAACGCTCGGTTGCAGCAAGTTCACGTCGAAGCTTGTGAAAGACCAAAGTCCGTGTTGATTAAGCGATCTGTATTTATCGAGCTGATAGAAACAAAGACACTGGTATGCCGTCACATATTACGCTCCCCGCGTGTTCAGTCACATTGAAAGAGTATGTGTGAGTGACAATGTATGCTCGATAGGGTCTCTGAACGTGATAGCCTTCTTGGAAATGACACTGATGACATGTCACTCTTCACCAAGACCAGTGGCTTGAAAGCAGAATGGCGTTTGGAAATTTTATGTAAAAGCGCTGATCATTCAAGAAACTGCGTTGCATGTACCATAATTGTTTCGGTTGTAAGCTATTACTGCTATGTTCGCTCTAAATATCGCGTACTTTGAGACCGTACCCATCGGCATTAGCGGTGAGAGTCGTTTCTGGCACATTGCGACGACAGTGTGATTTTCGAGAATGAAACCACCAGGTGCAAGGGACCGCTTACGCAACAGGCACGTTTCTGTCTATTATGAGGCTGTCTGAACAAAAACAGCGTTCCTGCCCGAGTAAGAAGGGCATTTCACCCACTTGTACTTATGAAGGTGAGACGTCCACTCTATGTCTTGTCGTGAGCAGTCGTGGCCAAGATATCTCCAACCCGTCGGTGCCTTCGTGTCCTCAAACAAAATAACGTTAGCACCTTCACCAAATTTGGCGTAGCAACACACATGCTTGGCGTAGCAACACACATGCAGAAGCTCGGCCCACGTAGCTTTGGCTCTGCTGCCACAGGAAGTTGTCACAAGGTATAGAACCACAGCATCTTTGTTTTTCTTTTTGTGTGCTGCAGAAGGACAAAGACAAAGACGAGCGCTATTTCCATCTGGTGCATCGGCTTCCCAAAAATGACTCTTCTGGGTCGGATCCCGAGACGACTGACCAAAACAGCTACATGAAGCTTGTTCAGAAGCGAGTGGAACGAGCAACCAGGCTTTTGAGTGAGCTGCCTCTGCCAGAACAGCTGGTCTTCATTGATGCAGAGCCAACTTCTCACAATAATGCGGATAATTCCAGTGGTCCTACGCGTGTGGCTGTTGCTCACGCTGTACAGGATGGTGGGTGCTTCTCTTGTGTTATAAAGTTATATGTTTCCGTTTTTTCCAGAATAGAAATGATGCTCGCAAAGTTCTGCTTGATTTGTTGATTCGGGTGAGCGTCACGAAACAAAATAGCACCTTGAAGCGACAGTTTGGAAAGACACCAGGACTAAGTTTGGCATTGAAAGGGTTCCTAAAGGAGAACTCTGGGGGCTGTTATACATTCACCGATTGTAATATTGCTTTGAATGCCCCGCCGCGGTGGTCTAATGGCTAAAGTACTCGGCTGTTGACCCGCAGGTCGCAGGCTCAAATCCCGGCTGCGGTGGCTGCATTTCTGATGGAGGCGGAAATGGTGTAGGCCCGTGTGCTCAGATTTGGGCTCCCGTCAAAGAACCCCAGGTGGTCAAAATTTCCGTATTCCTTCACTAAGGCGTCTCTCATAATCATATGGCGGTTTTGGGACGTTAAACCCCACATATCATCAATAATGCTTTGAAATTTTATTATTGTTGGCACCGTGACGGAATGTGTCAAATTGCGCACGCGTAAGTCATCTAGTTTTTTTTTAAAGGCAATTTTAAAAATTGGTAGCTAATACTGAAATCACGCTCGTAAACGCGTGCCAACGTGTGTATGTGACGTCAGCACTTACTCCTTTTTTAAAAACCCCGCCTTGCCCAGCACACGGATGCGGCGCTGCTTTCTTCTACGAGGCGACGATGACGCGAGCACACTTCAGTTTCGTCAAATGCATACAGCGCTGACGCCGAGTCTTACACTAATTCGAAATATTGAGCAACGGTACCCACCAGGGAAGACAGAGCAGCTTATTGTTCGGTTTGTCTTTTAACTCATCGTTGATTGTTTATTAAAATATGGGTGAGGGTATAGGCAAAATCAACCACATTAGCTGTTTCAGGGCTGTGAATACTATTTCGAAATGGCATTTCCTCACTATGGTCAAACATGCACAGAAGTTCCCCTTTAAAGAGCCCCTCACTAGCTTCACGCAGTGCTAATATGAAAGTATGCGTAGATAACTCGGTGGCAAAGATGTCAAACTATGAATTATGTCCGTGGCGCGACAAAAGTACATGATCATAACGTAAAGTGGCACGTTCTGTTTTCGCGAGAAGTACATAAACATTCAACAGAAGTTAACACGCATGTATAACAGTCAGCCTAGCCTCTTTGACCTTGCTGTGAAATTGCGTTTGCTTGGCTAGACGGCACCAGCGCGCCACTGCGCCGCGCCATGACCTGTTTCGCTCGCGCCGCCACCAATGTGTCACTAGTGAACACGCTGCAGCCGCCACCGTGCAACAATTACTTACCGTGCTTCGCCTTTCGTCCTTACCTTTAACCTGAACGAAAAATACAAACATAAAGCGCATTCCGTCAGCGGATGTTGTATATTTTCTCTAGTCCTATCACAACTAGTGCATTGCCCCACTGGGGTGATCTAGTAGTAATAGCACTCGACCTCTAACCCCAAAGCCGCGGAATCAAATCCCGGGTGTGGCGCCTGCATCTCGAATGGAAGTGAGAATGTTTGGGAACCATGTACTTAAATTTAGGTGCAGGTAACATACCCCAGGAGGTGGATGTTTCCAAAGCCCTCTACCACGTCGTCTATCATAACCCTATCGTGGTTTTGGGACGTCTTGGTTAAGGGCTTAATAGAGTTGGCTGCTGCGAGGAACCTTCACCCCCCCCCCCCCTAACCTTTGGGTGGAATCGTGCACGTGTTTCAGAATAGCTTTGTCGATAATGTTTAAAATGAAGCCCTCCTGTGCTTACTTTTTTTTGCTAATCAATGTATCTAGCATTCAAGATAATGGTGTGCCATTAAAGAAACTAAAACAAGTTTACTCTCATACAACATGAATAAACTCCCTGCAGAACGATAGACCTACTTTTAGAGAAGCGCCCTTGGTCAATGTTTTCTGTATGGCCTGCAGCCTATGTGGCACTCATTGGACTAAAGGCATATGCTGACATCATTGTGTAGTAATAATATTTGTGTAGGCGCGGGTGGTCACTTTAACTAGAGGTGCTTCAAGTTGTGCAGCTTGGTGCAGCAGGGAATATAATGAATGCCTAGATGAACAGTAATTTTCTTATAAGGATAGTACCGTTCTGCACTTATAAATGTGGCGTCTCTCGTAATCATAAGCTGATTTTGGGACGTTAAACTTCACATATAAATCACTTATATATGCGACTTGAAAGGAAGTCTCTTAAAAAATTCATTTAGCAGGTAGTTTCATACGTGGATCATATCGTAATAGTGTTCCGCTGGTAATTATGCGATGAGCAACCCGCTTAGTATTGCCCAACTAACATTACACAGGCTTAAAAAAGGTTAAATCAAGAGTGCTTTCGATTTTACTACTGTGGTTTGAAAAAAGGCATATAGGTAAAAAGTTACAGCTCATGCCCTCCTCAATAGAAGCATGCTTGAAGAAGAGCTTCTAGTAGTTTATTAAGCTAAATAAAAAACTCACGTAGTGAAAAGTAACCTGTTATGGTCGCCACACTTGATTTTCGAACACTAAATTTCCTTCATACAATAATATGCATACGCCCTATTGTCTAGCATTTGTGGCGCGGTAGACCACTAATAGAATGTTGTACTTTTAACAAAACAGTCCCAATGAGTCCTACTGCAAGGTTTACTAAACATTCTGCTCTGAACATTTTCCTTCGTTGCTGTTATTACGTTATGGTAGTGATTGTGACATAATGGTTGCTGCTGGATTGTATGGGCTCGACCACGTACAGCTTCTATTACAAAAAACATTCATCCTCGCGTCGCATAACTGGCTGAAGCCCGCTAAAACGACATGAATGAATGACGTGGAGTACACATAGGCCACTCACAACTGTCGAAAATGAACGTTCTACCATAGAACTCACGCAATACCACATATCAGGACATTCACGATTCTATTTTGTGACTCATTTGACAGAAGGTTCTTCTTTTTTTGCAGGTCCAAAAACCAGTGCCTTAGAGTCACAAGTGGTTGCCGCTAAATGGCTGTTCTTTGGACCTGATGTAAGACGTTTTCTTGAAGATTCCCTCATATTAGTTTGTGTCTTCTTATTTTTTTCGTGCGTGATAGCATCACGAGTTTCTGCAGGTCACGGTATTGAATCCCGGCTTAGGCGGCTGCCTTTTTGATGGGGGCGAAAAATGCTGCAGGCCCGTGTACTCAGATTTGGGTGCACGTGAAAGAACCCCAAGTGGTCGAAATTTCTGGAGCTCTGCATTGCGGCGTCTTTCATAATAATATAGTAAATTTAGGACGTTAAACCCCACATATCAATCCATCAAACATCACAGTTGATCTGTGTCACATGCATTGTCGGTCGTATTCTTATTGATATCATTATCAGAGCTACCTGAACCACGTGGTCATTTAAATGACAAACACTACAAACAATCATCTTCGCTATTCAAGTGAAAATAGAGCTTTACACTGGCAGAGAAGAGCAGATCGTTGGAAAAATGCCCCCACCTCCCCGAAGGCAATTGTGAGGGAATGTGAATGCTTTTTTTTTTTTGCGCCGAGAGGGTATCGTTGCCGTCAGACATTCACCTTCACAAACTTCTGCGATCGCTTTGAGAGGGGCCCAGCCAGGGAATGGTCAGGAGGGAGGAGCAAGCGGACGGGAGAGTAGGGTGCCAGCATTCACGGCTCGTCACTGCCGTTTCACGGCGGCGTGTCGAGTACATAATTTCAGATGTTCTTGAGAGGCGTCCAGACAGCGAACGCTTGAGAGTGAGATTCGAGTGGACAAGAGAGTGGTGCTCCGGAAGGAGAGAGAGCGAACGACCTGAGAAGGGGCGGCGAAGAATTGCACCTAACCGCTCCTACACTCTTTCGCAGCACACGCTACAACTGCTAGGGGCGAGCATAAGTGCGCGCGCCCGCAATTGTTGCTCTTGGAGAGAGAAGCAGAGCAAAGAGATAACCACTGACGGCGCACGGACGCCGTCGATAACGTCAGATTCCTGACATAGCCCGACTAAGAAATGCATTCGCATATGAAAGTGCAGTCTGCGAGACAAAATACAGATTTCATGGGTGGTGATCTTGAGGAATACAAATATTTTGATAGTGATGCCCATAATTAAAGTATGGATCTTGTCATTCTTGTCAGTGTCAATGCGCAGTCTCTAATTGTTTATTTCTGCCTGTGCGAACGTGAGACAGTAAAGTCCCTGGGATAGTGTTTCTAGGTGAACAGCGTTTTCGCTTCGCAACCTGCAAAGGTAGCCTTCCCCGCAGTTATATTAAGTCAAACCGATCAATGCTATTCCATCGGAACGTAGGTTCAAAACCTTTTAAGTTGGTATAACTTTAGAAACTTTAGAAGACAGCGGCATTTTCCCCTCACAAGCGGCTGCACACGAGCCGCTCCCACTAGGCGCACACTTCAGGAGACGTCATCAACCAGACGGCCGGTGGCCCTGCCGACGGAGAACATGCTGCCTTCCCTATTGCAAAAACAGCGTGATGCCATTACGTTTTTCGGCACTGGTACACGCTGGAGACGCTGGTACACGCTTGTAATCACTGGCGCTTCGTTGGGCGCACTGAGAAAAAGCTGTGTCGCACTGGCAGGGGCACTGGCTCAACCGCTGTGATGCTGGTGCGCACTGTGAAGCGCCGGAAGCGCTGGACTTTTCACTGGCAAGCGCTGGTGAATACTGAAGCACGCACTACTTTTAACAGTGCTGCTGCAGTGTGCATGTTATTGTAGCGTGTGCCGTGGTTTGTTTCGGTGTCTTATATTATAATACGTTGGATTTGACAGCAGGGAGAGACGCTACCCTAACAGATACCGAGCATACGTATTTTTTTAACAAGTACCACACATACGTAAGTGGTCTTACCCAGTGCCCGGACCAGCAAGCATTCATGCCAGCCGCGTTGATATATATGTTACCGGCGCTTCTTGCTGCGTGTACGCACGGCTTTAAAGTGTGAGAATAACATTAAAGTATAGTTTAGACATCAATGAATCTAAATCATCTATTTTGTCTTATGTCGATATTCGCACAAGGAGCGCTGACGCTCGAACATCGCGCTTTCAGCTACGCAGGCTGTCACTGAAAGCTGCCGGCCGCGCTTAGCCGGTACTTTTCCGACTGATAAGTAACAACATGCAATTTTCAGTTAGTAATTTAGTACGCCTTCATGAACTGACTCCCTAGCATACGTTTTAAGCGGATTGCATTGGTATGTCTATGGGTGTTTTTTTTTTAATTGCCGGTATGGATATAACTCCATATATCTGTACACTGGCACGCCCGCTGTTTACTTTCAGCGGAGGACAGAAAAACGTATGTCACTCGCTATCGTCACATCGTAAATGCATATCTGGCATTGATTGACCTTCCACTTACTTCAGGTACAGTTTAGGTGACAGTTATAAATATTGCGAAGCTCTAATGCTGAAACGTCAAGCATCACAACTCAGCTGCTTCGAAAGCAGCCCTACCCACTGCCCCGTCCCAGCGAGGCCTATCGTGCCGCCTGCGTCGGTGTACCTGCTGCCGGCGCTTTTTACTTTAGGTATAAATTCTAAAGTGTAAGATGGCTGTAAAGTACAGTTTAGACATCACTGAGCCTAAATCGACTATTTATCTGCGTGTGTGGTGCCCGCACAAGGAGCGGCAACGATCGATGTGTCGTGCTTTCTGCAACGTAGGCTGTCACCGAAAGCTTCCTTCTCAGCGCAGAAGCCGGTACTTCTCTGACTGGTACGTAAGAACACGCAATTTTGAGTTGGCAATTTGGTACGCGTTAGTGAACTAACACACTGGCATACTTTTTCAGCGGACTGCATTAGTCATTTATTCGGCGGTTTCTTAGTTGCCGGTATCGATATAACTGCAAATATGTAATCTGGCACGCCAAATGTGTACTGCTACATCATCGCTTCCGCGAAAGAAAAATACTCAATATTCACTCGTGTACGTAGATACCTACCAAGCAAGACATGTAAATCATCTCCACTTGTTGACCAGTAGCAAGTGGTAGAAATAACCATCAAAGGAAAAAAAGACCATCGGCAGCAACAGCTGACAATCTGTGGCTGCTCCGCCCGTCAATTTGAGATTTTTTAGAGTTAAGATGTAGATGCTTCAAAAACTTTGTGCTCTTGCTAATATCTGCTCGTCATTCGGTGCCCGGAAGCCATTCATCACTGTCAAAATCAAGACGCAATTGTCATTTGGAAAGGAATATTGTCACGGGGTCCTGACGTGGCGCAAGACAGGAGACTTCGTGTTGGGATTTAACTGTTTATTTGGGCGAACCTGTGCCCGGTAGACGGAAAGTCCAATTACAGCAGCAGTCTCGCACAGATAGCAGTCTTGGACTGATAGCGGCGAACGGAGCGTCGGCCTACGATCAACAACTGACAAGCGGCGAAGCGCGTCGGCATTTATACTCTTGCCGTCGAATGTTCTAGCGTTATCGCTGGCGGTGGCGTAGGTTCCAGAACAATCTGTACCGTTCACACAGTGGGCGTGATATTATCGAAATGATCTACTACAGTCCGGAACCTTCTCGAAAACTGCAGGCGTGGTTTGCGCTGAGAATCATGTGGTGTTTTGGGACGATAACAAAAACTTGGGAAATGGAACGCGGCATTGCCTCCCTCTGAAAAAAGGCATCGTCCCGATGCTTTAACTAAAGATGAAGGTACAACAATAATGCAAGAAAGTACAATGAATAAATTACGATACAACAATAATACAAAAACACACTGTTTCAGTTTGTTAACGCGCATGAAACGGCTTGAGACGCGCGACATGCACGACTTCAGGTCGCGATCGGCGTCGTTGAGAGTTCGTGATGCCGTCGGGGACAACCTCGAAATCAAGTGGGCCGAGACGTCGAACCACCCTGTACGGTCCGAAGTACCGTCGCAGAAGCTTTTCACTTAGTCCACGTCGGCGTATCGGCGTCCACACCCAAACACGTTCACCGGGCTGGTATTCCACGAAGCGTCGTCGAAGGTTGTAACGGTAACTGTCGGTCGTCTGTTGATTCTTGATACGGAGACGTGCAAGTTGTCGGGCTTCTTCGGCGCGTTGAAGGTACTCGCTCACATCGAGGTTTTCTTCGTCGGTGACGTTGGGTAACATGGCATCGAGCGTCGTTGCCGGGCTCCTTCTGTAGACCAATTTGTATGGAGATATCGGCGTCGTCTCCTGCACCGCCGTGTTGTATGCGAAGGTCACATACGGAAGAATGGCGTCCCACGTCTTGTGTTTGACATCGACGTACATTGACAGCATGTCGACGATCGTCTTGTTAAGCCGCTCGGTGAGGCCGTTGGTCTGTGGGTGGTACGCTGTCGTCAGGCGGTGGTTTGTTTGGCTGTAAGCCAAGATCGCTTGAGTTAAGTCGGCAGTGAATGCCGTTCCTCTGTCGGTGATAAGCACCTGCGGGCGCCGAAACGTAGGACGATATTTTTGACGAAGAACATGGCTACCTCGGATGCACTGTCTTTTGGCAGGGCTTTTGTCTCGGCGTAGCGGGTGAGGTAGTTGGTAGCTACCACGATCCACTTGTTTCCGAAAGCCGACGTCGGGAACGGCCCCAGTAGGTCCATACCAATCTGCTGGAAAGGTCGGCATGGTGGATCAATTGGCTGCAGAAGTCCCGCTGGCCTTGTCGGCGGTGTCTTGCGTCGCTGACAGTCCCGGCATGTCCTCACATAACGAGTGACGTCGGTAGTAAGACGTGGCCAGTAGTACCTTTCTTGTATCCTCGCGAGCGTGCGAGAAACACCGAGGTGCCCTGCCGTCGGATCGTCGTGCAGGGCCTGCAGGAGTTCTGGTCGCAGAGCTGAAGGCACCACAAGGAGGTACTTAGCTCGAAGCGGTGAAAAGTTTTTCTTTTGTAGAAGACCGTTTCGTAGAAAGAACGACGCAAGTGCGCGCGTGAATACCTTCGGGACTTCGGCGGTCCTGCCTTTGAGGTATTCTATCAGGGCCTTAAGTTCCGGGTCGGCCCGCTGTCGTTCAGCGAAGTC